GGCAGCTTTGTGGGGCTGTGGACTGCTGACACCGTCTTCCGAATTCCTCGATACACCAGGGCAATGCCTAATCCAATCAGCAGATAGCCTGTTATCATGGTTCCGAATATGTAGAGAATAGTCTTCACATGAAGTATGCATAGAATAAAGAATCTCCAATAAAAGGAAATGTTAAATGACGAGAATGTTTAAAAAATACAGTCATGAAACGTTTTTTCTGATTACGTCAAGATTAATGTAATAAAGACCCTGCAAACTTTGCAGCCACCAAAGCGCACTTTTGTCTGACACTGTTTTCATCTTTGTCCCTCTAGAGGTCCACACTCTGTCAAACCAGTCTAACCTTGATGTTGTGGTTAAAACTCTGGCTCCTGCTTTACTGGCTGGGCTAGCTAAGATGAAGTCCTCATCATCATCACCATCCTCTACAGCAAAGGTGTGGACAGCAAATCCCTCTAAAGCAAAGCACGCTTTGCAGAAGAGCAAGACAAGTTCTTTCACAAAGACTAAGGTTAGTATGTGTTTGTGTGTGCCAAAGACTAAAAAGAAAATGATACTTTATTGCCCATTACTAAGCAAAAATCATGTTGACTGTAAGGAGAGATGACATTAAAGGTTCTTTAAGTAACTTTCAGAAAACCATTGTTAATAGTAGTGTCTGTTACGTGAACTCGTCCTCTTGCATGACCAAGCATCGTCCTGGGCATCGGCCAAAAGAGACATACACAAGAATGAATGCTGGAAAATAATATTTAGGATAGTTGTAACATCTGCAATTTTCCTTCACTCCAGACCGACAACATGCAGTCAAGCCACAGCTTAGCATATAGGTTACAGTTAAATGCAGTTAATGCAGTTAAATGCGTAAAATTCTTCAGAATCTTAATATTGTCTTTTTTCCCGTTCGTGATGACCAACACTATATTTGGTCTAAGTTTGTGTTTTTCTCTCTCTCTCTGTCTCTTTGCTCAGACTAGTAAATCTTTACCTCCAATCATGGTGAGGCTAGAAGGGATTCATAGTTCTCTCTCACAAAATGATGTGTTCGCTGCTGTCAAGCAATTTGGAAAAACCAAGTCAGTAGTACTGTTTCCGCCCAAACAGGAGGTATGTGACAGTGAAGAGTGTTATTTTTTTCTCAGATTTTTAATACTTTAATGTGAACTTTTTGCCTTACAATGGTTGTAGTAATGCAAAGATACATGCATTTGTGTGTGTGTGTGTGTGTGTGTGTGTGTGTGTGTGTAGGGAATCGTGTGTTTCCACAAAGAGGAAGACGCCAAGAAATTGAGGGGAGTAAAGCACCTCAATGTGAAAGGAATTGCAGTCACTGTTAGAGAAAAGGTATTACACTTTCTTTCTTTTTTTCTATGTCTTTGGGAAATTGACATCTAAACATTTGTCTGCAGTAGTGTGCTCACATTGTCAATTATGATGAATTTAAAATAACAAATGTCTATTTGTTTGTTTTCAGGGAACTGGTATTAAGAAGCGAAAAAAGTAAGATATCTTTCACACAGACTGTTTTGTTAACAGTGATGGAGTGTGGAGGGTTTTATCTAGTTTTTGCCATAAATATTCAGTTGCCTTAATTTGTGTCCTCAGTGGAGAAGATACAGTTCATATATTCAGAATTTACTGCACTTGCTGTAAAACTGCAATGATAGAAAAGGGGCCCCTTAAGGAAAGAGGCGGGGAACCATTGATGTACGTGATGTTGTGTTCATCCCCAGTTTGTTAAATTGAATCCATAGTTGATTTAAAATGAATTCAACCTGTAAAGGACAGTACTTTCTTACAGTGAAGAACATAAGAAAACATTAAAACAATTTCATTTTCTCCTGCTTGACACATGCGACTCTCTTTTGTTCACAGAAAACCAGCCACATCCAGTCAATCCACTTCCATGAGAAAGGTTCTTCTTCCTACACCTAACATTTCTCAGATTAAACTGCCTCTATCCTCTGGAGCCATGAAAGCTACAGCAGGCAAACTTGCCAATCAGAAGATTGCACCTAAAGGCTCAGTTAAAGGCACTAAAGCGAAAGTGTTGGTTTCCAAAGCGAAAAAGGTCTCAACCAAGCAGATGGCTAAAAAGGTAAAAACAGGAAAGTTGCCTGCGAAGGGACCTGTTAAAAAGGTTGCGGTAAAGCGGAAAAGTTCAAAGTCCACTGCACACGCACCAGAGACCAAGACTGTTGCTTCACGAGTACAACAGCGGGCTGCAAGATTCCCCACTGAAGCTGCTGTGGAGGCAATGCTGCAAAGTGGAGAGGTGGAGACAAAAACAATGCAAAAAGGTATGTTGGCATGTGTTGAATTATATAATAAAGAGAAAGGAATTTGGTGTGGTGGTAGAATGAAAACCTTTAACTGGACACAATGTTGACCTTTTCACTTTCATTCAAATAGAACTGGAAAAGTACTTCAAACTGTCTGTGCTAAGAGGAGAAAGATGGTTTTGAAATAATGAATGTGCTTGAATTTATAGTATAAATATTATATTATATAAATATAATATAATATTATATATTATAGTAATAGTTCTGAGTGGATCAATGGGAAATACAATACAATATGGGAAGACTTGTAAAATATAACTCCTTTTTTACTGTTTATTCAGGTCCAAATGGTCTTCAACATGCATGAATATAGCCACATAACACAAAAAACAAGCCTATCATTGCAAACAATTTCATTAATTAATAATTAATAGTTAATAATTCTCGTGCCAGTTATTTTTTGTTAGGAAGATATCTGTTGTTTGAATATTCATATTAATAAAATTGTATTTTTTGAAGATCCTGTGACTGAAGTGATGTCAAAAAGAGGTGCAACATCAGCCAAGGATGCATCCACCGCATCCTTATTGGATCTCAACCAGGGTCAAGATGATTTCTCAGATGACAGTGAGGAAATTTTCAACATGGATGACTTTGTCACTGTTGATGAAATTGGTGATGACTTGGAAGACAAAAGTCCAGAGTCTACTGAAACCCCTTCCTCCCCTGGTCATAAAACACAACAAAGGAAGGCAAAATCTCCATTTAAAGCATCAAATACCACATCCAGTTGTAGTACACACTCAGTCTATGCTGCATGCGAAAGGGAAATGATAACATCAGCAGTAACTGACGAAGCGTCAATAGAGACTCACCTGGAGTGGCTTAGAGAAGAAGCAAAAGCCACAGAGGGCGCAGTAATTGCTGCTAAAACTGTTGAGTCAGAGACAAAACTAGAAACATCATCAGAGATGCATTCACCTCCACAGGGACAAGGGTTTGAGTTAAGTCAAGTCCAAAGTCTGGACATTGATGTTAAAGTTCCAAATAAAAGCAAAGAGGAAGGAAAAGATGATGATGTTGACAAACATACAAAGGAGGAGGAGGATGAAAACTACCAAATCCTAAATTCACTAGATGATCGAACAGATGAACAGATGGATGATGAGGAGCAATATGGGAGCTCTAAAATCAAGCAAACTGGATCTGAGGAAAGCTATCAGGTCTTGGACAGTGTTGACAACGAAGACCAAGACTGCCAAGAGGTGAACAGTGAAATGAAAATGGATGGTTCTTTCCAAGTGCTGGAGAGTGTAACAGAAGACCAAGCAGCAACAAGTCAAGTGGACAGTCTCCTGGTCCAAGATGCAGTTCCAGTAGTCGACAAATCTCATGATGCAATTAAAGATCAGGAGATTAATAACAAAGACCTTTTCCAAGTGTTGGATACAGGTAGGAAACAAGCTTCAATGGGAAATGGTGATGGGAAGACAAAAGAAGAAGAAGAAGACAAAGGTAAAGTGCTTACAGTAGAATCTTGCAAAGCCTTCAAAGATGTGGAAAATCCTGATGGCCAAATCCCAAATGAAGACCAGCCTCTTCAAGACGGTGACGATGATTGTACTGAACAAGAAACCTTTGAGATATTGGATTCAATTGATGACCAGACTGCAACAGAAGATAAACTTGAAACTCCCAATGACCAGCTATCTAAAGAAGAGCTTAGGTCCATAGAAGAAGAGGAAGGCTCATATCAGGTAACTGATTCTTTAGAAGATCAGCCAGTGACCACAGAGTCAGAGAAGGACAACATGGAAAGAAGGATTGAGAAACGGGAGGCCACTGCTAGAAAGGATGATGGACCATCAAAGAGGAGTGGCCCCAAAACCACAACTGCAAGAGGACAGAAAGAGGATAAAATTACAGATACCTATGAGATTTTAGATGCTGTGGAAGATGAGACTGCAGATGATGAACCAACCGTAACAAGACTATCTACCAGAGGAAAACGGGAACGAACAGGTAATAAAGATTCTTCAAATGAGAAAACAAAAAAAGAGGAAACGCCAACAAGAAGGAGGCACACTCCTGCCAGAGAGTCACAGGAACTAAACAAGAAACCAACACCAAAGAAAGAGGAGAAAGCCCCTCGCAAAGAGAGCTCACCAACAAAGAAGAGTGACGTTGTTACAGAGGTAAGTGAGGAAGATGCTACCTATGAAATATTGGACTCTATGGAGGACGACGTTAAAGATGATCGGCCTGCTACAGGACTAAAAGGTAGAAGGGGAAGACCAAAGAAAGAGGTGAATACAACTAAAAAAGACGCAAGTAGGTCCCAAATTAATACTGCAACACCTGAAGAGGAAAATAAACTAAATTCACCCGAGAAACACTACAAAACTAGCCCTCTGGTGAACCTAGTGAACGGGAGGGCAAGGGACACCAAGGGGACACTGGAGACCCGCCCACTCCACCAGGAGGACGAATCAGAGGACTCCTTGAACCCAGAGGTAAAGATTGAGACATTACGGTGAATCCCTGTAAAACAAACATTTATAAAACACAAAGAGAACCACTGATGCTAAAGATCTTGTCTGTTTTTAGACTTTGGTGACTTTAGATGAAGCTGGCGATGATGATGAGGAAGAGCAGCCGCACGAAGAGGAAGCTGAGAAAACATCAAGATCTGCTAAACGCAAACACGATGACGACACAGGTGTGTGTGTTATTTTGACAGTACACAGTAAAGTATACTTACACAGGTATATTTTACCCTCAAGAGAACTATTGATTGTCTCCATTTAACTGGAGGATTTCAAACCAATAGACCCTTTTCACTGCAGATAGCTTGCCTTTCCATCAAAAGCCTAGTCAATGAGTGATATCAGAGACCATTATTAGTAAGTTCCACCTGAGCTTTTCCTGCTTTGACAAAGTTTGACAAGTCAAAATGTCTTGGCCAGTAATAATTTAGATTTGTCCTACGTAACTTAAGTTGAAGTAAAATGTACTGTCCCCTTTATACCCTCCAAAATAAGAGCCTCCCCTCCCAACCCAGTATTCAACCTGGGTGTCAAAATCAATTTTTGCCTTCTATTTCTCTAAAATATTTCGACAGGAAATTGTTTGTTTGTAAAAAAAAAAAAAAAAAAGTTCCTTTCTTGTTGTTTGTTTGAATCTTTATTTTTTATTTGTCCTGTTTTAGAGGAAAGTGTGAACTTTGTGATAGTAGACGAGGTGAAAGAGGAGGAGGAAAACGAATCGGTTACAACCAGGACAAGAGGCCGAGCCGAGAAGAGAACCAGAACCAGAACCAGACAGACCCCAGGTAACACACACACATCGATATCTTTTATAAAATTCTATCATTACCTGAAATCTACTCTCTATACCGGGGGTGTCAACTTGATTTCATGCCAGGCCTTATCAGCATTATGGTTTCCCTCACATGGGCTGTTTGACTATATAAATATCTACTTGTTATCATATTACATAAATGACTCTGCATTTGATTTTTACTAGTTTTAGTAATAACTTAATAATTAATAATTAGCTCTTAAAGCAGAATTCTAGGAAAAATAATGGCATTCAAAATGAGAGCCTGTGAATGAGAGTTTTTTACCACACTTTCCTGCAAATGTTTCATAGTAAAACCCCTGGTATGAAATGAAGTGATCTTAGCTGATTAAGAGTATTAATTTGCAGTTTTCTTTTGTTCGCCCAACTGATTCATTATCTTTAACCACAGTGA